AGTCGCTGATGACGACTTGGAGGCGCTCTGACCCCCGGGTCGGGCTACCCTGTATAAAGCATCGCTTCAGTTTGCCGCGTGCGGCCTGCCCGTGCGTGTGTTTGGGAAGGTGTGACGCGCATGGCGATGACAGCCTGTTCTGTTTTAAAGCCAAGGAACATATCCAGGAAATGAGGAAAGGCCTCGATTCGCTCTTGCAGACGGCTGAGAAGGCGTTCACCGTGGAGCTGCTGAAGATGCCGGCTGCCATCAAGAAGATTAGAAGAAAAGACCTGCTCGGTAAGCGTGTAGTCGGGTGGGCGCGAGGGATGCGTCGCGGCGTGAGGCGCCCATGACGGGTGTGAGAAAACCCGTCAGCCTGGGGACTTCTGTGGGGAAGTTTGCTTTGTCTGCTGAGTGCCTGAGGCTAATAGGCAGTGGTGCTACACTGCGGACGCTCAGCAAGCACTCGTGTTCAAGTAGGCTGAGCTGTGTAACACGGGGTATGGAGTTAGTAGGCAACATCGTGAAGAGTCTGGAGGCCTCTTTTATGTGTGATTTTAAGTCATCTTATTTAAAGGCTGAATAGACAAGAAATCATGACAAGTATTTCTTAAGCACCTGTTTCCATCCGAATCTGTTCATCCTAGCCGCAGAGATTATCTTGTCCTTCTGCTAATGTGGAGTTGTCTACTACTGACCCTTTCTCATCCAGTCGTTTACCTGCGATGATGAGTGAACAGGTTTAATTCTAACCTCACGTTTTATGCAGCAGTTTAAGCTGTGGTGTACAGTCAGCGTTACGCGTATACTGTGGTGAGAACTGTGTTTGGAATCTACCTGGCAACTGGAAATTGCAGGGGCCACACAGAGATCAAACTTAAGACTCTTGAACTTTAGTTTACTGTAACCCTTTGCTGAGAATATATTTCTGTGTCTGACTTGAAAACTTCTGCCTAAAAGCATTAGCTTTCAGTAACACAGTGTGTGTGGGAGCTTTCTTCTTCAAATTCAGGTTATATCCTGCATGACTGCACTTAGTACCCTTTCAAAGATTAAACATACTGCAACGACCTAAGATTTCATTGTTGTTTTGAATGAGTGACTGTCCTGTAAGATTTGAATCTTGTTCAAATGCAATGTATATGCCAGCTAAGGTTAACTAAACAACTGTAATCCTGAATTACTTGTTCAGCTTCATAGCTCGTAAGATAAGAACCTGAAGATAATAATTATACAAGTAATAGTATATAAACAAGTTATGCTTTCTTGAATCACAGATTTGCAAGGAAGGGAGGAAGTGGCTCTTGCTGCTGCAGTGGTAAGTCTGTGTTTTCAAATTTTATCACAGCTTATGGAATAGAAGTCTTCTCTCCCTGCTGGAAATATGTCAGACTAATTTGTTTGGCTGTGTAATTAGAAGATGATATGAAGAGGCTAGACAGCCAGCCATGGTGCAGTTATGAACATTACCTAAAGCTTTAGGGTCATCTGCAGGCAGAAATCCAGATGTTTCTGAAAAAATAAACTCATGTGTAGCCAATCCCACTTCTGTCACTTTCATTTATGCCCTTTTAGTTCACTGCTCTTTGTAGGATAATACACATTTATTGGGCAAAATCTGTTGACTTTTACTTGTTGGATCAACGTTTTTTAGACTGACTGCTCTCTAGAAGACATACCAAATCCAAAACTGGTGAGGACCAATAGCAAAAAAGGCAAGTCAACCCATTGATATATAGCTTGGTTCTTAATTTTTGAGTTTTTTTCATCGGTGTGAACCGAGCATTTGTGAAGTGAATGTTAAGGCTGAAGGATACAAAAGGGAAAAGTGTGTAACTGGAAGTGTAACGTAGAGGCCCCCAGCATTCAGTGGGGAGGATCATGAGCTATGCTATTGTTGAGGCACTTCAGAACATGCAATAGGAGATTCTGCCCTTTGGATTTATCACTAAAAATGATGAAAAGAGACAGATTTAAGTGACTTGTTAGTGCCTTACAGTATAGCAGAAGAGCTGGGAAAGTCACCCCTGTTTTCTCCTAGGTTCCCCTTTGACCTCCTGCCCACTGAGGTTTTTAAGGAAAATATCGTTTCTCTTGGTCTCCAGAATATGCAGCAAGAAGGACACTACCCCTGAAATAGAGTTCTGTTTTGCCTGGGGGTTGAAGGGTTATGTAGTGTCTTTTAACCGTCCTGTGTGTCACAGTGTCTGTGACAAACACACATAGTTGGCTTTGAACTCTGTCCCAGGCAAATGCCCGTCGGCTAGCAGAACTGGTACGCCGCTGTCGGTGGGTACACGGCCCTCAAACCTGTCTGAGGTGGTGTTTCGTGCTCTTTGATTTTTACATTCCTCTTCTTAATGTATTTCTAGTTAAGGTAACAACAATTGTGGAATATGAAGATGCCAGGCATATTTCTGCGAAGAAAATATCTAAAAAAGTAAGTTTATTCTGAACAAACAACGTAGGGGTTTTATTTGTGTCTGACCTGCCATGAACCCTGCCAGATCGATGACTGGGCAGGCCAGTGCCCTGACGTTTGTTTGAAAAATCAGTTGTTTCAATTTAAATGCACTTCAAATTAAGCAAGGCTAAACTGTATAGTAAATGAATTTCATAATGAACTATGGCATGTGCACCTCTGGTAACTCACTCGCACAGACTTGCAGATGCTAGCACAGTCCTCCCCTCTTGACTGGCCAATAACCATTTCTTTTGTTAAAATGTGAAGTGTTGTGGTTTTTTTTTTTAAAGAAGTTTCAATACATGCTTTTCTGTATTTGAGTGCCTTGTGCACCCTTGTCCACCTTGATCTCTAAACCAAACAGCACAAGTGTGTTAATCCTGCCACCCGTGTCCGTCTGTGCAGTGCAGTGCCCCAGCCGGACACTGAAGTTTCTGGCAAGAAGACAGCAGAGAGAAAAATGTTATGTGCAGTGACAGGCATTAGTTGTAAGAGGGCTTACATGTTGGAAGGGTGTACATTAGAAAGGTGGTTGCTTGTGCAGCGCTTCAGTATGAACAAATACATTTTGGCATGATGAAGCTCTTGTTTTGGAATGCTTATTTGCTGTTTTATGTAGAACCGTATAAAAGGCAGCACTATGGGGCTTAACTGTTCTTTCAGCAGGGAATTCTTACAGTACTGTTCCCTGGAAAAAGCTCTCGTTTTGCCTTAAAATGCTACTTTTTAACTGCAGTCTTACATGTACATTTTCAGGTTTCCAAAACCAAGTCGTTGGTTTCATTGGCCTCTGGTTTAAATAGCAAACTGAACCCTATTTCTAGGTAAGGACCGGTCTTGGCTAGCTTACGTAACTGAATTGTGCATGCTGAACGAACTCTTTGCTGAGATTTGAGGCCCTTAGGAATGCATCTGATAAAGATGTCTTCCATAACCTGAACCAGATGCAATGTAGCGATGCGACCCCTGAACGCAAAAGCACCTCTGGCTGTGGAAGGAATGTAGTTGTATCTCCCACGCGCTGAATGGTGTGCGGCTCTGAGCCTGTACAGTCAGGGTAGATGACCAAACAATGCTTAATGGACGAGAATGTGCGAGGGAAACGTCCTTGATCTGTTAGAACAAATGAATTGTTCTGTAATCATTCTGCCCTCATACATAGCTGCAAGGGAGGTGTCAGCAGCAGGGAAATAAATGCTTGTAAAAGCCTCTCAGAGCTACTTGAGGTCATGATGGACTAAATCCGGGTCTCGCTGTAAGATCTGGTGAATCACAAAATGGGTGGATATCTGCATGAAGACTTTGGGAAGGTCACGCTACACCCACGGCCCCAGCGTGCGTGCTTGTACCCAGTGGCACGTGTTTCCATACATTCAGACTGTCTTCAGAGAAGTGTTGTGTCGGTGTGCAGTGTGCCTGAAAGATCAAAAACCATCCTGACCATGTTTAATTACTTGGCTGCATTGGCATTATGGAATTTTTGGCTCAACAAAATCAAACCAGAGAAGGCTGCTTTGCCTGGGTAAGTTGAACCTTTCAGTCCTTGAAGGTTGCTTTTATTCAAGGACACTAATACTGGGCCAAAAACACATGCCCTTACAATGTGTCTGAAATGTGTGTGGGAAAGGGAGATGAGGAAAGGGTGAGGTAAACTTCTGTCATCAGTATTTCTGTGAGCAGAGTTAAAATCCAAAACTGGAAAAAACTTTTCTCTGGGTTCAGGTCAACCACACAGGACAAATCCTGAGAAGAAAAGTAGGAAAAGTAATTCCAGCTAAAAAATAACTTCCCAATAAACCTTTTGTACACTCAGAATAGAAAACTGGAGATGCTCCCATAATTACACCTAACTCGAGTATGGCAGCCTGTTTACCTAACATAAATTATCCTTTCATTCCCCTCTTGCTTCTGATTGCAGTGCCACGAATTTGAAAGCCACGCCAAAGGTATCTAAAAGGTAAGGGTTTTCCAGCTTGTTCTTAATAAATATTTTTGTTAAATACCAAGACACTATATATCTACATTAATATCAACCTAGATATTAACCATTATCAATCTAGATTTAATAGATCTTCATGATCTGCCGCTACATCTGGTGTGAACCAGCCACAGCTCCTGCTTTGGTTGTGGGTCTTAACACGTTCTCAGGGCGGTACAGAATTCGATGTCATAACTAAGCTAGTTATTCAAAAAAACCACAGCAAACCACCCCCAGACTCACAGTATAAATTCTTCACCCAGCCACTGTTACTTAAAGGTATCATTTACAGCTGAAACTCATTCTCAGAGCCCAAGCCTGATGAAAATGTCACTATGCTGCTGTGTTTTAAAACCAACACAGATAAACCAAGCCTCCCAGAACCCCCACCAAGTAAATGGACAATCAGTTCTTTGCACACGGAAGAGTTGAGGTTTTCAGTTACTATCATACTGCATACACGACAGTTTGGTTTTGGCAGAAGTTGCCAGCTGAAGTGAGGGGGTGAAAAACTTGGTAACTTAAGTGGGTCAGGAAACTGGAAAGTGACTTAGTTTCACCTTGGCCTGCTATAAATTTCAGAGGCTTGTTTCCAGGCAGAAGATACCCAAATCTTCATGTTTTTGAAGTGGAACAATTGTATCATGAAAGAAGCTTAGGAGTTCTGCATGGCAAGGGCATGCCCTGTACCTCAGAGAGGGATCAGCCTTGGTATTTCTTGAGACCTCCCTGTGTAGCAGACACATCAGCACACATCTTAAGCCCTGAGGCAAGAAGTCTCGTCTTTCCAAAACCATAAGCATTCGCTGTTGATATCGGAGAGTGGATATTCTTGTTGCTGAGTGCTCCAAACCTCAGCTTGCTCACTGGCTTGTGGCACAGAAGGTTACTGCAGTGTTTCCGGGTCATAAAATGTTACCTGGTGGCACCGGTAGATGCTGCTCATGGTTGGATTTCCTGTAGCTTTGGGGCAGAACTGGAAACCTTTAAACATGACTGCCTTCCTATTAGGTATGTCTGCTACTGCTCACACTTGCTTCATGCTTGGACATTTCCGGCAGGGCGCTGGAAGTTAACCTCAGAGTAACACTTTGACTGTATTCCAGGGCTGGGCTACATCAGAGTGTCTCGGGAACGGTACCTGCCAGTGGAAGAGTTCAAGGCATGCTACTGAGGCGGCAGTCGGTGCCCCAAGACAAAACCGTTCCGTTTGTAAACATTCCCCTGGCTGACGGACAGGTACCTAACCTTTTTTAAAAATACATTTTCATAGAATCATAGAATGGTTAGGGTTGGAAGGGACCCCAAAGATCATCCAGTTCCACCCCCCCTGCCATGGGCAGGGACACCTTCCACTAGACCAGGTTGCATCATCTTACAGTAGTTGATTAACTGTCAGCAGTCCGATAGTGGTAGGTCTTGCTATCCCTAAATTAATTGCTCCTAAACAAAAGGAAAAGTGGTTACTGAAGCTTTGCAGTGTGGCAGGGAAGCACATGACTTCCAGAAAAGCTGGCCACGCAAGTAAAAACTGTCAGAATAGGCCTTTTTTGTCCTGAAACGGTTTCTCTTCACGTTTAGACGCTCTGTACGGCTGGTGGAGACCTCCATAACATTGATGTGCAACTCCTGAATCAAGACACAGTACAGCATATTCATAACTTGGTGGTAAGCTTCAAGTAGCAAGCTTAGGTGTGCATATTCAGACACCCCGTCTCGGGTTTTCACACGAGGTAACTCTCGTGAATGCAAGTCCTTAGTGCTTTAGCTCTTCCGGGGTCAAACCTGAACTGGTTGGCGTAAACTGGGGTGAGGACCAGGGCAAGGGAGGACCAGGGAGGGGAGAATTGCTGCACACAGGTGATGTGTAAACGCACTTAGGTAAGCGTGTGCATTTTGGCAATTGCCTGGGGGACAGCAGAAGCACAGACCCTTCTGGACTGCTCTGGTGGCATCCCTGCCCTGTCAGCAAACTGCCGTTCTCCATCTCCTTCACAAAGGCTTATAAAGCTGTGGCTAAGTTCTGATTCTTGTTACTCCTCTTCGTTATCTGCTGCAACTGAAGAGGAACTGCCTTACCTTTGATTCAGGGAAGCACATTGTTTTGCAGCAGAATGGAGTTGAACACCACTTTCTAGGACGTGGTGCCTGACTCCTGAAGGTGAGGGTAGCTGGGCTTTTGGATGGAGTCACGTACAGCACTAGAAATCTGTCCAGACCCAAGAGACACAGCTTACAGTCTCGCAGGCATTTAGATGTGAATGCAGCTACACGAGTTAAGCCAAAGGTCTGGAAGCTCTCTTGGGTTTTGTAACACGGACCCGCCTCTGTAGGCAGGGAATGAGGGAGTGCTGGCTTCAGCAATAGTGACTTCTCTTCCGTGTTCTGTTGGGTAGCTTGAACTAAACAGATTGTTTTTCCCTCCTTAGAGCGAGCTGACTCTACTGTGTGGAAAGGCATCAGCTAAAAAGAGTTAATGGAACGGTCCTGCAACTATGGAGTATTTGTGACAGCTCTTGCTGCCTCTGAGGTGTTTGGGGAATGTCTATCATGTCCTGAGCTGTACGCTTCGTAGGAAATGGTTTTTATATAAAGCTGCCCGTTACCTGTGCAGCATACGAGAGTAGGTAATAATAGAAAGGAAATAGTAGGAAGTAATTCTACTTTTTTAACTTCTTTTTTTAAAAAGGCTTAGTTAACAGCTAATCTCTGTTCACAGTAAAATGAACAATAGGTTGTATGTAGGAAATAAAGTTTAACTGTGCTACTCTAAACAGGACAGTGTTTTTTTGACGTAATGAAGCCTGGAGCTCTTTCAGGTCATTCTCCCATGCATGTCACAAGCAGAATGCAGCATGGGTTTACTACTCAAGTTTGGTCTTCCCAGTATCAATCTCCTTGACCCCAACTCTGGAATTAAGCTGAAGTGCAAGTTTCCATGTTCTTGCATAGCGTTTTAAGGCATCTGATGTGTCGTGTGGTAGCTGTATGATCCGACACACTCCCAGCCCTGTGATGTGACGTGACAGTACTGTGCAGGATGTCAGGTGGTTACCCAGACTTACTCCAGGTGGTGGTGTCAGCCCAGTTTTTCTAGTACTTACATACTTTTGAGTAACTTGTAAAGGTTTGTAACATCTTTCTGGGTAGAGATGCCAGTCCAGCAGCCACTCTGCTGGGGGTGCTCTTGGATTTTTCAGAACTGGAGGATGCTCTTACTCTGCCAGCAGTGATTTCAGCTGAAGGGCTACCCTTAGCAGAGCAGGAGGTACAGGTAAGAAGGGTAACAAGAAGTCACCATGCGTTTGAAGATGCTGTGGACAGGAGACTAAGTTAACAGAGTCTCAGGACTGAGAACTAGACTAACTCACACTACAGATCCCTCCCCAAAGAACAATTGGAAAGTAAGTGTAGAGTAGAACCCTGTTTTCTGGAGGTAAATCCTGCTTACAAGCCGAAGACATGTGTCTTAAGTGTTTAAGCTTTGCAGTTGAAGGTGAATGACTTGCTGGAAAGAGAGAATGCGGAGAAAGGACCAGTACATACCCATGGCTTCTCGAACCACACCCCCAAGTTTCAGTAAATGACAGAGATGCCCCAGATGGGAACGCCACAGCAGAAGTCACCCATGCTCATGCTTCAGTTGTGGAGTCTGTAACAAGGATGTGGAGCAACACGCAGCTGCCACGGCCTACCCAAGCACATGGCAACCCATGGAGTTTGTCCCCCCAGCCTCACGGCTAAACTGCAACTCGCTGAGCAAGAATTAAACAAACCATGCTGCAGATTTGCAGAGAAAGAGAGGCATCTCTCAACTTCCAGACTTGAGCAGGGAGGGAAACCTCGCTGCAGAGGCAGCTCACCAATGAGTTCATGCACACTCCCCGAACACTGTAGGAAGATGCTCAGATACATAATGATCAGGTACATTAAGGTCATATTTTTGCTTTGTTGTGGTTCTTTTACATGCTTTTAGCTGGCAAAAATAGAAAACTGAAGCTGGAGAACTTGATATCTTAAAACAGGAAGGGCAAGCTACCTGGAAACAGTTAATGTAGATGGTTTTGTTACTTCTCCAGTAAATTTTTTGACTACTAATCTCAATCTTCCTATAAACTATGTTAATGCAAGCACAAGGTGCCAGGCCTAGTGTTCATTGGCACAAAGGCACTTTAAAACTGGGAACGTTTCTCTAGGAAGTCTGGCTGAATCTGGCCTTGAATTGGATTCAGAGGCTGAGAGAAAGATGCCATGACTTTGGGATTTAATCATCTTAATGGAGAAGGTTTCAGGACCCTTGTACATGGCACATGGTGGCTGCCAAACTGCAGCCTCAGCCTCCCCGTTTATAAAGCGTTGACCACGTACAGAGCCACCTCTTACACAGAACAGCTACAGCCACTGGAAAAGCAAGAGTTACAAGGCCAAAGAAATATATTATACACCAACTGCTTTTATTTAGTTTCAGAAACCGTTCACAAGATGGTAGAAAAAACTTACAACCACTTCTAATTTAGTCTTCCATTGTTCCCAGTCAGCTCTAAACCCATTATGTGCAAAGCCCATTTACCATGCATCTAGATGATAGATACAGGCTATGAAATTCTTTATTCTACTTGTAGCAGTTTATGCAGGTGCAGCCAAATACCAAGCCTCAGGACAAATTGTACACAAACTTTACAATGTCGAATTTGAATTTAAAACATGAAACTTAAAACCTACACAAAACTGGTAAAAATCAAGCACAGATACAAGGACAAACTTAAAACCCATGTGAAAAGGAGTCTCGTCTTCCTTTCAAGTGCTTTATTCTGCTACACAGTCAAAATGAAGATGTAAGCTTGTGGTTAGTTTAAATTACACTCTGTAGATACTATAGACCAATTTAAAAGTTACACATACAGCAATAGATGTCCATTGGTTCATCTGGATTATTTATACAATCCAGCTGGATTGTTGAAAACAAGTCAGGCAAAATTTGAAAGAAAATCCTTGTGCAACTTTTTAGACAAACATTTACTGATGGGCACACTGTACCCCAGGTCCATGATGGCTGCTTTCTTCATCAGAACTATCGTTATAAGCTTCACGTCTCTGGCCACCACCTGAACCACGAGTGGTATCGAATTCCTGAAGATCTACCTCTTCCGCATCACCAATTACATTGGGAAATTCTGGTCTAGCTGGCAGAAGATCTTCAAGTTCCTGCCCCAAAAAAAGAAGGATTCAGTGTTGCATCTACAACTGCTACATGAAGCGACCAGTTCCCCACCACTACTAGACTCCGAGCAGGTTGGGTTTAGACTAAGCTGACATTAACCCATTTAAAAGTAGCTGAAGTACTTGTGTGAACGGGAAGATGCCCCCAACAGCTCCACGTAAGAACCCAGAGTGCAATCGGTAAATACAGTTGCACTCGGAGCTTATCACACAGCAGCAGGACCATTCTTCCTCCCACCCTCATCTGCACAGCTCAAACACAGGTTCCGTAAGTTCATGCTCCAACGGGTATTTTCAAGTTACGTGTTGACCATAAAGTTAAGAGAACAGTCACACTTTCATCCAAACATAAGCACTGAAAACAAGTACGTGAGGGACAGCGCACGCACTCTTCGCATACACTCTCAAGACAGACCACGTTTATGCTTGAAAAACTACTTACTGAAAGCTTTTCTGGGCTAATCCAGTTATTTTCAGGAAATTGAACATCAAATTTAATGTAAAGATCCCCCTTCTCAAAAGGGTTGCGATACTGGGGCATTCCTTCGCCTCTGACTACGCGAACACAACCTGCAATTTGAAGAGAAGTAAGCTGGAGAGTGCTACTTCAACTCAGCTCTCCTTTCTCCAGCCTAGAACGGGATTAAGTGTCCAAGAATCACAAAAGGATAGTGCAAAGGGGTCCTTACCAGGTCAGCCTTACCTGGTTCAATTACTTTTCCAGGAGGATATTTCACCACAATTTGACGTCCATCAAGGTGCTTAAATGTGAACTGAAACCCACACAGTGCTTCAACCAGTCCAATCTTGTGCGTCATGTGCAAGTCATTGCCATCCCGCTGGAACACCTGAAAAACAAACCCAGGAGACAGTCCGTGTCAGAGCAGCCGCCTTTGTACAAAGTTAATTCGATTCTGTTAATTCCAATTGCTTAATGTGCTTGGAAGGTTTGTGCCTGATGAGAGGGTCACCCGAGGTAAGGCAAAGCACACTGCATGCTGTGATGCAAGGCTCAGACTGAACAAGGCCTGCATAGCCGCCGTTCTCTCTTACACCCAAATCTTCTACACAAGCAACGTACAAATAACAACTAGTGACAGTCTGACACTACTTCCCCTCCACTGGAGTACAAAACCCCCATGTTTTTCTGTGGTTGGTTGACCCTGGCTGGAGGGCAGGTGCCCACAAGGCCCCTCTCACTCCCCTCCTCAGCTGGGCAGGGGAGAGGAAATACGGTGACAGGCTCATGGCTCAAGGTAAGAGCAGGGAGAGATCACCGAGCAATTACCTCATGGGCAAACAATTACCAATCAAAATCAGAGTGAAAAGAGAACTAAACCCAGATCTTAACACACCTTCCCCTTCTTTTTGGGCTCAAATTCACTCCTGCTTTTCTTTACCTCCTCACCCCCGACACAGGGAGATGGGGAATGAGGACAACACATTGCCTCTGCCACTCCAGGAAGAGTTCACACTTTTCCTTTGTTCCAGCATGGGGTCTCTCCCATGGGAGACAGTTGTCCATGAACTCTTCCAGTGTGAGTCCTTCCCACAGGCTCCTTAATAAACTGCTCCGGTGTGGGTCCCTCCCACAGGGCGCCATCCTTCAGGAGCAGTCTGCTACAATATGGGTCTCCATGGGGTCACAATTCCTGCCAGCAAACCTCCTCCAGCCTGGGCTCCTCTCTCCATAGGGCCACAGCTCCTGCCAGGAGCCTGCTCCAGCCTGGGCTGCCCACAGGGTCACAGCCTCCTTCGGACATCCCCCTGCTCTGGTGTGGGGTCCTGCCCAGGCTGCAGGTGGGTCTCTGCTGACACGTGACCCTCCATGGCTGCAGGGCACAGCCGGCCTCACCATGAGCTGCCAGGGAATCTCTGCTCCAGCACCTAGAGCACCTCCTCCCCTCCTTCACAGGCCTTGGTGTTTGCAGAGTTGCATCTCCCACATCTTGTGCTCTCTCTGTCTGTCTGCAAAGACCTACCCTCTTGTGCTTTCTCCCACGCCACCTTTCTTTAACGTCATCACAGAGGCACTACGACTGCCACTGGCTCAGCTGGTGCCAGGTCTGTTTTGGAGCCGGCTGGCGTTGGCTCTGTCAGACACAGGGGAGGCTTCTACCACACCGCTACCAAAACCTTGCCACGCAAACCCAATACAGTTTCTCATCATTTAACTAGTCATCATGCAATCTGCTTCAGCTAACTTGATCTACAGCAGGGCTGTGATCAATTAGCCCACAGCTGTCACAGGGGATCTTCAAGCCATATCACTCAGAATTCTTCAGAGTAAACATCAGCTTTATCCACTGGCACAACCAGGACTCCCAGCTCGAGGGAAATTTTAAGAACACTAAAAGCTTGATTAAAAGTCAGTCTAATTTTACTCACTAGGACACAAGGTCGAATATTCTTCAGAATGTTAATACTGTAAAACTAGATGTACTTTGTTAGAAGAGTAAGACAGAAGCGGCATCCACCATCTGGAATTTGATGCTGTCATGCACATCTGACTGTTCTGTATGCTTACAGACTGGTTCTCCCTTAACATAGTCAAAAATAAATTGTGATGTCACGTTTCAACCAGTATTACGGAAGAACGTGTAAAGAGCTATGCAAAACTGGTTGAGAAGTCAGCGGTTCTTGACACGGCTCTGAAAAGCTTATCAAGCGCCTTATTTTCAGATAACCAACATTATATCCTTAATATGTTACTGGAATTTAAATTTGTACCCAGTGCTATTCTTCGTGTGACAACAGAACCTCCCCTCCTTCCATGCAACACCTTTTCCAGAGCGTAACAAACTGTTTCTTGTTTCACCATGGTAATACCTGGCCTTTCTACGTGGGAGCATTCCAAAAAAGCAGCAGTCACCTCAACTCTGCCCTAAGGGAGTTTTAACACAGAAGAATATAAATCGCAAAATCCACCTCAAAAATGCAGTGTATATACCCCAGAATACAGTAAGCATAAGCCTCAGACCGTTATAAAATAGCGTTTGTTTTGCTAAGCGAGACAGTAACATCAGCATTCTGTTACACTGCCACAGCAGCAGAGACAGAAAGCACCACCCGCAGACTGAAATAGGACTTGCCTGACATGTCACAAGACATCGTAAAAAAAGCAATACGTAGCATTTTGTTAGTGTCACAAGCGAAGCAGACAAGTTAACACCCTGAGTGACTCTTCACTGTGTCCACTGTATACAAGTCAGCCTGAGCTTACCGGAGAAAGCCATTACCTCTTATTAGCGTTAGGAAGCAACAGAACCTGTGTGTCCTCTGGCTACAGACTTGCCGAGGTTTTTCTGGCTCACCAGGAAAGCCATATTATTTGCTATAAATCTATTAAAGCTATTCACCATCTCTCCCAGAGCTGCAACTATATGAATGACTTTAAAACAAACAGCCGTCTATATCGCTTAAATATTAAAGACTAGGATAAAAGGCATTTGAAGTATAAACTCAAAAGCATTACCTCATTCTCCTTTTCTTGGAGTAAGAGGACAATATCTCCCGGTTCCATGCCTGGAGCCTGATCTGCTTCTCCACTGAATGTAATTCGTTGCCCATGTTTCATGCCTTTGTCTACATGGACTTCAAGTATTTTTACCTCTTTGATCACCTTCTTCCCTTCACATTTTTTACAGCGGTCTTTTTCATTAATTACTTCACCTAAAGAAAGACACATTTTGAGTTCAGAGACTTCCTCATAACTGCATTTGATTCTGAAGAAAAACTGTGTTGAAGTAGGCTGAAGAATACACGCAACACAACTAGTGATTTAGACGTTGCTTTATGAATTCCTCACAAGGGGAAATCCAGGCCCAATTTACCCTAGCTGGCAGATGTGGAATGCAAAACAAGACTTTTGTCTACAGCTTCTAGTGTTCCTTAAGTCTTTGTTTGACTCCAGGAGCCTTACCACTCAACAAAAGCACTTTTCCATTCTTTATTATGCTGGAGAATGACAGTTTTAAGAGATGACAGTTGTAAGATGAAGCTAAACCCAAACGGAAGCGTCTCCCCCTCCCCCGTACAAGTCAGAATATGATTTTCTAACTATTTCACTGAATTTAGGAAGCTTAGTTCCACTGCTGTTACCAGCAGTGACTACAGGATTACTGGGCTCCGTTCACCGACAGCTACGTTTTGCACACCACCATCACCACAAAGCACGAGGTAAATGCAGCCAGCAGAACTAGCGTCTTGCACACAAAACGTGGGGAAGACAGCTGGTCAAGTCACAGTTGCATGCAAGAGCAGTATGTAGGTTCTCCCCACAGGAAGGATCTGACATTTCCTGACACGTAAGGGATTTCCCTTTTATCCTCTGAAACTGAACAGTTTTGCAAATCATCCATCACCTCTAGCCAGGCAAGTACGTTTTCCAGCAAACCGAAGGATGACTATCCAAGACAGCTTAAATTCTTGTTCTACCTGATCTTTACTTTTCAGGTAAGCTGTTGTCTTTGTACAGAGTAACAGAAATACTAGGCCACATGCCCTGCACAATTTGTGTGCACTGTACTTGTCCAGGACTGCTCTAGCTGCCACAAGCAGATGCACTTGGCTTGAGACATTAAACTTGCCAGCTTAAACCACCCTCCTGCGAAACAAAGCACAACGTTATGATGCAGTAGAAACTACCGAGTATGTAGGTTAGGTAAGTAAACTGTAAAATCAAGATGTTCAAAGACAATTCTTGGTGATTCTGAGTATCCTGAGGAGTGAAATCATCCTCACAGTGACGTTACTACCCTGCAAACTGCAGAACATCCCAAAAGGAGTGCAGATCACGTGCCGAATTTGCTCCTCAAACACATCCAATTCAGAAAAAGGTATCTTCTTAATTTGAAAGAGTTAAAATCCAACTTCAGGTTTCCATTTTTAACCTAAATATGTCCTTGGATATTAGACTGCAAAAAGACAAAAAGCTAAAACCCCCCAAATCAGCTAAAACCCCCAAAATCTTGGATTTTACTTTAACACAAGAGTAACAGCAGTAACTAATATTTTCATCTAAGTGGGTTTTAAAAACAAACAATCCCTACTCTTCAAGCTTCCAGGCTGCTTTTCAGTACACTAAACACTGTAATTTTGCTGTTGTTCCAAATAAAATGATTCCTCCATGTTGACATCAGGTTGAGACCCAACTACCTAAATGGGAGCAAAACTCTCCTGGGTAAGTTCCCCCTGAGATTCAACCAGGAGGTTGAGTCCAACTAAACGCATTTAGTGACAGAGGATAGCCTGGCCTACCTTCTCCGTTGCAGTCAGAGCATACAGACTGCATCTGCTAAGCCAGCTGTCTGATCATGATACGTACACCTCGACCCCGGCAAGCATTACATTTCTGCACAGCTCCAGCCTTCCCTCCCTGCCTGGAATAGAAAGCAACAGTTGCACAGAAGTAAGTTTTTCAGAAACATACCACAAAAAACAACCCTACATCGGTAGGTTAACGTGCCTAATTGCACTGCCAATTCGTATCAGGTTCTCTCCTCCCCCCTAAACAAAGCCCTTGCATAGTTCCAGTTCCACCGACAGTATCATTCAAGTTGAACAATTTTACAGCCCGAGAGAAGGCTCCAGTAAGTCAAACTGAAAAAGATCTGACATGATGCTTCATTACAGTATATGCCAACAAAGCAAGCAGAGATGTCAAAAATATAAACAAACTTACCCATTACATGCACTACAAAGGACATTCTTGCTAAGTTGTAGTTTAGTTGTCTTTCCATTGTACAGATCTTCTAAAGAGACTCTACAAAATAAATGATAACCCAGGAGAAAGGTTTTAACAACTTACCTCACCCATGTAATTAAAATATTTGCCTAGGATAAATCAAAGAAAAACATATCTTCATAAAAATCACTAAATCCGCTATTAAAATTAGATTTTAAAGCACCATTTTAGCTGTCACAAGGAGTCATTAAAACCTATTCCACACAGGAATATAAACATGTAATCCTGACCATAGCTTCAGAGAAGGGCTGTAATTTAATCAGAAGAAACCAGATAGGACTGCTTGTGTTTCTCAAAGGAAACAAACTAATCTAGCATTTTAGGTTTTATTATATAGTCATAGTCCAATTTTTTTTTTTTTTTTTTTTAGTTTTACCACCAGGTGAGAAACAAACCTCTCTAGACGGTCCTGACAATATTTACAGCATGCATACGTAAGAACACATACAGCATATTTACTACGGCTTTCCACACGAGATAGTTTAGTGGGCCGGGGTTAGCATGTCCCCAGGGCCACTTAATTCTTTAGATCTGTTCACGTTTCAAAAACATTTAGAAGCTCTTCAATACACTATCAAACTCCAGTAGCCTTCATATTCTGACAGAAATTTATGAACACGTTGGGCGTTTCTCCTAAGGTTTGTTAGTGGATGGAGTTTCAACTCAAATGTATTGAGAAAAGGTTGCCTGGCATCAACGTTTACAAATAACAAACCCAAGGCTAATTAATAATATAGCATGCAGTACTAGGTACTAAACTAAGCAAGCATGTGAAAGCAAACAGGCTACTAAGCAGTTTGCCAACCACTGGAAAGATGCAGCTTAAGTTAAGAACTTAGAAAGGACCTGCTCAGCAGGCCAGAAGCCAGTCAAGACTGCAAGCGGAGATCTAAAACACACAGATGTGATACTCAAGGCTTAAAAAAAAAAAAACCCAAACCAACAAAAACGGCCACGCACAAAAACCTACCACCACACCCCACAAAACACAGCCCAAACCCACCTCACACTGTTTTCTATCAATTATGCAGTCTAACTTGAGTTCCAGCTGGTATTACACTATGAATGCAAGTCAACTGAAGTCTTTCCAGAGCCTTAGTACCTCTGCTTCCCTAAGAATCCAGCTAATTTTCAAGTAGTACTTGGCTGTTAAATGCTTTTTCAGATTAGAACTTTCAAACATAATTAAGGAGCAAACACAAGGAAAATAATGCTAACAAAGCATATACAGGCCAATAACCGTGCAAAGCAAAGTACTAGGTGGTCTGCAAGATTAACCAATCATGAAAAGTAGCTGAGATGACTGCCTTCCGGGCTACACACAACATGCAGGTCTGGAACAGAGGCACAGACTGCAGAGTATCTCACCTGAAAAGCATAACATAAACTAGCAGAGTCAAGAACTGATTGGGAAAGCTTGAAAGAACAAGTTGCAGTATCAAGATACTCACTTGAGTGGATGCATCATATCTTCTCCTCTTCTTCTACCATTACGACTTCTACTCTGACCACCCATGAAATTGAACAATCCACCACCAAAGATATGGGAGAAAATATCGTCCATTCCACTGCTTCCACCGCTACCTTCTCGAAGGCCCTGTTCTCCATATCTATCATATAACTCACGTTTCTCTGGATTTGACAGTACTTCATAGGCAAAGCTTATTTCTTTGAACTAGAAGAGAGTCAAAACAGTGCATGGTAACTTAGAACTTCAAAGGAGCATTTTACTGTTCCTTGCCCAGCACGAACACCCAACTGAAGGTACACAGCAGACAGTTTCCCACCCTCATGCTAATATGCACAACTTCTAAATCAGATTTGGGCTTAGCTGTGTTACCTCTTACCATAAAATGACATTTTATTGCAAAACTTTGTTGACTTTGTTCTTTATTGGGCCTAGCTTAAGACAGTTACAAAGCAAACAAAAAACCATCCAAGGAAGAAAACCCCCAAGTACCCAGTACCGCAGCGGCCAACAGGCAGGAAAATCCCTGTTACATGCTAATGGCCGAGACTACACGATACATTAGGCACTTAAATACACGACCAACCCAGCAACCTAGTAAAATGCATATTAATGTGTTGGACCTCAAGACAAATTAGTATCTTTTTCACAGTCATTGCTGCTCACCACCAAGCAACCATCAGAACTCCCGTTCTGCTACAGAATTAGCTGAGTCAACTTAATTGACTTTTTTTGTTTTAATTGCTGTTAGCATAACAAATCTAATTTAACATTCCTACATATGTAATTTGTTTTATGTTGCAGCAGTTTCAAGAACCTCCATGCATACATTTTTCCATGTTGGAAAAACCTGGAAAACTGACTTTTTCAAACACATGCCAACGTATTTGTATTCACGTACATGCCAATGCCAGCTGACATCATCTCGGCAGATAAAAAGTGGCAGTTTTTCCCTCGGAATCACCTTCTCAACCAATTTGACTCAGCCAACTGCTGCATTTTTTCCATGAGGTACACCGGTAGATTTCAAGATTGGGAAGTGGACAAGACAGGGCTCCCTCTCAGAGTTGTTATTTCTGAACAACTTGTAACAGCAAGCCCCCTTAGATGCCAACAGTATCTTTTCGACAGTAAATATTCAATATTTCAATAGCAAACTTCAGGAGTTAAAAAAAAAGTCTTACTTTGTCCCCTGCATTCGGGTTCTTATCAGGATGGTATTCCTTGGCCAGCTTTCTGTACGCCTAGTTCAAAGAGGTACAAAATTAGTTTAAAGTTTGATTAATCCGTTCTTTTCTGAGAAACTCTAGTGCCTTCAGGAAGAAAGAAAATCCTAATAAAGCGAAGCGAGCAAACGAGTATTTTGAAACCCCTCATACACTGAAACGATACATAAAAATATCTGACACTGCTGTGCATCAATTAACTACACTTGGATTTAAACACAGCTACAGCATGCAATAGCTACAACGAGTTTTCCTGCTCATCTTCATTAACTTACAGGAAGAATCACACTGGACTTTCATTAAAATAACTTACTCTCCAGAACCCGCTCAAAACCTACAATATGACAATTTAAGTTTCAACCCATTTATCTTTCACCTCACCACAGCAACACATTAACAACAAAATGGCTGCCTCCGCTCCTCATCCCACCCCACCAGTCAATCCTCTCCATAATCACCTGGTTCTTCCTGACCCATCAGGAAGGGAAGATTTCACCTCACTTTGAACCAGGCATATGAACTGCACATGCAGCAACATACAGCTCGTGGCTTTTATTGAACGTCGTTGTTCTAAGACAGCGGGAGTACTCAGTACAGCCAAATCTCCAGAAGAGATCTTTCAGAATGGTGTTTTTGACCGGTACTTCGATTCTTGGGACCATCACCTGTTCCACAGCAACACTCCATCTGCTTTCCTTATACTTTACAGGATCAGTGCAAATACCAGGGCAGGCAGAGACTTTTCCTGCAATCTGAGTTTTTGACTGTGAAGACCTCCACTCTTCCCCACTCCACCTCAACACCCCCCAGTAAGAACCAGGGGGCAGACGTTAATAAATTAGATGGTATACAGTTGGGGTTTTTAATTATACATATTTAAAAAAAAAAAGAAAAAAGCTAGTGTGATGCAACTGCAAACAAAATACTGGTTCTTGGAATGGCTTTTTTGAAAGCTCTATTTCTGCAGGACTGGGGATCTAAAGTAGCTCTTCAGCTCCGCAACGTTAAGAGAGCTTTACAGGATGAGAATTTTCCATTTTGTACTGGAACAAGTAAGCCGCTTTTTTTTTTTGTATCTGCACGGTTACTTCCTTTTCCTGATTATCTTGAAATATGCCCCACTTCTGCATGTAATTGAGAAATAAACTTTACTAATTTAACTGATTAAAAAAAATAGAAAATTGATATTATAAGCCAAATATTCTAAACCACAATAAGCGTAAAGGATAAAAAAATCACAGGTTTTATAGGACAAATTGCCCATGAGTTTCAAAGCATAAGCTTCCAAACCCCTACATATTCTGTAATAATAATGGATCTTCCCCACATAAGAAGTCTAACCAAGGAAAGAAACAAAAAACCCAACCCCCAAACATAACACAAAACACTAAAGTAAAAACTTACATAACATTATCTAATCAGGAAAAAAGGAGCTTGCATAGTGATCTTTAAAAAGAGAGAACACTTTTGTCTTTGCTGATAACAGCATTCCAGTTTAGAACAATTTTTAAAACTACCCATGGCCCAAAAGGAAGCTAACACTAACCTGAAACTGATCCAGAATCAACGTCTACAGTGGCACCATATTCTAACTTCAATAAAAGTTAATTTAACTAATCAGTGTTGAAGCCTGTTCTCTCAGCCCCCTTTGACTAAGCTATCACCTATTTGTTTTCACTTTCCCATACTGTTACATAGGTTAAAATACCAGATTAATAAAGCATCCATGTGAACTGTCAGTGACAGTACGATACAGATGAACTTGCTGTTACAGGCAATTGGAAGCTGCGCTCCATGGTAAGTCTAATCTGTAGCAATTAATACTGAGCAGCACAGGTTATCCGAGTGGAAAGCTGGTGCGAGTTTTCCATTCCTACAGGACACAGACAACTTGAAGAGAATTCAGTAAGAAAAAAATAAATATTCTACTTGACTGCATTCAGTATACCGCACTATCTTCTCACCGCATGCCTTCCACCTCTAACACTATTTCAACACTGCAATTGCCTATCCCTGCACAAATTAGGCTACCGCATGCATGATGGGTAACGCAAGTTGTTAATACCAGCACCACCCATCAGCGGAAGCAGGTCACTGCTACTAAACTGCCTCGTTAATTATCCTCCCTCACATGTAAATGGTCATTAAGTCTTTTTAAAAATAAAAATTGGTTTATACACTACAGAATGAAGTGGACGTAGCGAATCGTTATACCGGTGGCCTGACTCCAAGTTTTCACCTCGCTTCTTTGTTTACCTTACCTCGCCGCTTTCAGCCCGAGAGGGATCAAACACATGAGCAAAACGAAACCTTACTAAGGCCTACACGTGGGGCAGACAATGGCACCAGTTAGAATACACCGGTCCCTTCACGATTTTTTTTTACGCCCAAAAAGCCTTTCACCGGCGGCGAATACGGCTCCGCCGCGGGGGAGGGACGCGGCGCTGCGGGGGC